TATGCATTCCTAAATGACCCCTTAGATGAAGAAGTTTATATTGCACAACTAGTTGGGTTTGTGAAATAAGGTGAATAAAGAAAGGTGTACAGACTGCATAAAGCCATGTATGCACTTAAACAAGGTCCAAGAGCTTGGAATAAGAAGATTGGTTGTTTCCTAAGGATGAAGGAATTTATGAAGTGCACAACTAAACATTGAGTAGATGTAAGAAGAATCAAGAGTAAATTTCTTATACTATGTCTCTATATCGATGACTTATTGATAACAGGTAGCTACAAGAAAGAGATTTGAATTCTATAAGAGTATTATAGCATTGATGATGCATCAAAGAAGATATGCAATTGAAATACTCAAGAGATTTGATATGGAAAAATGAAACTCGACTTTGACACCTGTTGAACCAAGACCGAAACTATTGAAAGGCTCAGAAGAAGATGATGTCGACCTAACTTATTACATAATACTTATTGGGTCATTGAGGTGCCTTTGTCACACAAGGCCTGATCTAGCATACAATATAGGTATGATAAGTAGAATCATGCAGAAGTCAAAGGTATGGCATCTAGCAGAGACGAAGAGAATACTAAGATATCTCAAAGGAAATCTCGACTATGGCATTTTATTTTTTAGTTGATGAAGGAAAAGAATATAAGCCGGTGCGTTATACCGGCTCAAGTTGGTGTAGTAATGCTGAGGATCGAAAATTCTAAGTTGGCTATGTGTTTATGATACGTGGTGCACTAGTTGCTTGTAGTTCGAAAAAAGAACCAGTAGTGGAACTATCATCGTGTGAAAAAGAATACATAGCTGCTTCTCTTTGTGCACGCCAATAAACATGGATGGTGAATGTGGTCCAAGAGATTATAGTAGAAGATCATGGAGAAATTACCATGAAGATCAACATCATGTCAACTATCAATCTAATGAAGAATTTGATAGCACATGGCAGAAGCAAGCACATTGAAATGAGGTTCCCTTATCTTCGAAAGCATGTAGCATATAAGAAGCTGAACTTGGAACACTAAGAACTGAGAATCAGATTGCAGACATCAGAACAAAAGAAGTGTAAGTCGAAGTGTTTAAGAGACTAAGAGCAATGATGAATGTAGATAGCTTAGACACAATGAATTAGGTAGTGTGTTGAGATAATAATTCCTTGCGTTGAAGCATATTTGCTCAAAAGAAACAAATATGTGTCGAAATTACTGTGTGTATCGAGTTCTTTAGCAGTTGAAGTGTCGAAGGAGGTAGCCTCGACATAGGATTTCGACTTAGGCCTAAATATGTATTTTGGGCTTTTGTAATTTTGAGCTTTGACTTAGGGATCAAACTAACCTAAAACTATAAATAGAGGGAGTAACCCCTATTTTTGTAATCACTTGCAGTTACATAATAAAATCACAAATTTGTGAGCAGAGAGAAACTCTGCAGAAAATATTTTCTTCTTCCTTTGTTCAAACTCTAATTTTCTTTTCCTCAATTATCTTTTCTTTCTTCTTCCATTAAAATTGTTGCGTAGAGTCATCTTTCAATCAAGATTGATTGATTCACTCAAGTGAAGAGTGAAAAACAAAATATTTCAATTTAATTAATTGAATCTTGTCCATCAAAATTGATTTGAAATTCTCTATAAATTTGATGTAATTTCCAACACGAGTTAACCCATAGTTGTGAATCCCACACATCACTTTATTAATCAACCATCCAATGTCATCCTTCAACAACTTCACTCAAAGTCTAAACGGACAAACCATACTTTTAATAGCAATTAAACTTTCACATAAATTTTTATGTTTTTCACTCATATCACAACACAATCATATTTGTGTTTTTCTTTCGTATTTTCTCATCTTTACATTTGATTTATTTTCTCTTCTTTACATTTGATGTGTAAAGATGATAATCATTATATTTTATATATCCACCACCCTACCCCATATAATAAAAAAAACTTTTCTTATATTCAAATTTTAATTTTGTTGTAAATAATTAAGTCAAATTCTAACATTGTAGCTTCATTTTCATTCAAAAATAAAATATTAGAACTTTATATATATAAAACATCAGAAGTATTGAATGATGGTAAGATCCAATTTAAATATTAGAACCAAAAATTCATGAATCAAAATGTTCGATTTGAATATTAAAAATCGAATCTTTTCTATTGTTTAATATTTAATATTAAAATATAGAAATATCACAATTTTAAATTTAAAAAAAAAATTATACACTGATATTGTAAAATGATTTTATACTATAAATTAATAAGGAATATATATCCTGCAAAATCACACTTTTATTTTTAAAATACTGATATTACATTATAGAATATTATAATTTTATTGGATAATAGTGTAAAATTAATTAACACCGATATTGCATTATCTCTAATCTCAATTTTTGAAATTTTTAAATGAGATGTTTCATTTTTAATTTTTTTTTGGAATATTCAAATAAGATAATGTTTAAATTTTTTGTATATTTTGAATTATGATTTTTTTAAAGAAAAGAAGAGAACTTATTTTAGATAAAAATAAAAAATAGTTTGAGGATAACATCCTTTTTAAGGATATAAATCTAGTTAGCGGTACCAGTTCAAAATTTCAATTTAAGAAAGCTTGATGGGCCCATTTATTCAGTAAGTTATAAGGCTTGTTTAGTCTAAATGGGAGCATTTAACTTATCATCTTCTTCTGAGTTGAGTTATATATGATATCCCTCCGAAACATATGAAAAGATTATAATAATTTTGTTTAAACTTTTTATTAAAAATTTTGAAATTTTTTTAGACAATATCAGAAATTTCAAGCACATACAAGAAATTCTTTTAAAAAGTAAGATTTTAATCGGAGATTTCAAAATTTTCAAGAGATTTTACTAGAAATTTAAATTTCCGGAAAATTTTACTAGAAATTTTGAAATTTTCGAGAGATTTTACCAGTAATTTTAAAATTTTCGAGAAAATTTATCAGTAATTTTGAAATTTCCAGAAAATTTTATTAGAAATTTTAAAATTTCCAGTATTTTTTATCCGTAATTTTGAAAATTTTAAAACTAATTATAATTTATCAAAAATTTCAAATGAACTATCAAAAATTTCATACATACCAGAAATTTCAACATTGTACTAGAAATTTAATTCGAAAAAGTTATTTATTTACAAGAGACATTTTTTATATTATAAAAATATAAAGAGTGTCCAATTTAATTTTTAGAGTGATAAATTAAATGCTCTAAAAATTGGCATTTGTCATAAATTTCTCAAAGAGAATTACTAATTCTAGCTCAACATTTGATAAACCCTTCCATCATCTACTTCATTCACCTTTTATAGATTGTGAGGAAACTTCCTTTTGCATCAGCTGAGTTTTTATGTAATATTTTATTTTTTATTTTTTATTATAAAATAGAAAGGAGGATGAGGACCTATGTACATGATATAGAGACAAAAAAACAGCAAATGAGAAGTTTGTGACATAGACATATATGTTATTAAAATAATTTGGATAATTTCATCCCATCATGCATACTTCGTTTTGTTTCAATCATACGCATTATTTTTATAATAACGTCTATAATAATTTGATGTTGAACAATAACTACCAATTATATATTCACCAACCAACTCATGTAAATCCATTTCACCAACTCTACAATTAAAGTAGCATGGCTTAATCTCGAGGGGCCGCAAAAGAAACATAAAAAAATTAAATCAATTTCAACTCTTAAGGAAGACCAATTTGAAGATAATATAAACAAAAAGTGTATATAATATGAAATTGGAGTCAAACTTCAATAAAATCATCTCCAATTTTTTATCTTCATTGGAGCAATGTGACTTATCATGTTGCATAGTTTGCATATATCTTCTACACATAACTCAAATAGAATGTATCATGTTGCATAGTTTGCATATATCTTCTACACATAACTCAAATAGAATGTATCATGTTGCATAGTGTAATTCAAACTATTATATTAGAAGGTTATTATGTTTGGAGAAGTTAGTTAGATATGTTTTAATTGTTGTTTTTAGTTTGTTATAGGCAGTTATTTGGTGTACAAGTAACAAGTGTGTTGTATAAAACTATCTAACTAACTAAATACAATCTATCCTTCTCTCAATTCTGTCATTCTTTCTTTTCTCTTCTTTTTCAATTTTTTATTTTCCCTAATAAATTGATATTTAGAGTTGTATTGTTCCTAGAGAACTCGTTTGATTGCAAGAAATATCAACCATGGTGGGCTATGTAAAATTTGCATCACACCTATTTATTCTTGACGGTAAGAATTGAGACAAATTGGTGACTCAAATGAAGGTAATTTTTGGTGCACAAGATGTTAGTGACATGATGGAAACATGACTCAAAGCTCTCCCTGCATATACAATTACAGCACATGAGAAAGCTTACAAGGAAGATAAGAAAAGAGATTGCAATATTTTATTTCTCATTCACATATTTTGATCCTAACAATTTTGGGCTTGTTTGTGGATCTGTTTGTTAATGGATCATATCCTGGACCCGTTAATATTTTGTTAGTTATAAATATGGGTTTTCTCTCACTTGTTGGGGGGAGTTTCATAAGGTAGAAAATAGGGTTTAGAAATCAAGGAAATCCTTTTAGAGTTATCTAAAAGAGTCAGATAATATTTCTTGATACCTTGAGTGAAGGGTCAAATAATAGTTCTTGATAACTTAGGTTTGAGTGAATTGTTCTTATCTCAATATAGTTACTTGAAGAAATTGGTAGAGCAGTTTAGAATACAAGATGTTAAAATCGCCAACACTCATTTGGGTTATCACACAAAGATTCCGGTTAAACAATATCCTCAAACTGGAGAAGAGAAGAAGATAATGGAGAGTATTCCCTATGAAAGTGGGATTGGAAGCATTATGTATGGTATGGTTTGGAGTAGACCATAATTAGCATATGCAGTCTGTTGTACCCCAAAATTTTCCCTCCCATTATCCAAGACATTCTCCTAAAATTCTCAAATGCTCAAGGTTGCTCAAGAATTGATCAGACAAATTCTCCTCCTAAGCAATGGACCTACAACTAAGATTTCAATTTTATCAAGAAAGATTAAACTTATAATGCCTCAAGTGGAGTTCATGGTTTCTCATATGTCTCTAAGAATGCTCATGCCAAGTTTAAAACCTTGCATCACAAGATTGCTCAGTCAATTTCTCAGATGACTGAAAATCAAACTGCATTGGACAAAAAGTCAATTATGGTCAACATACAGTCAAACTTCAATATTTTTGGTCAACATCAAGATTTTGAAGTTATATTCATCATTTGATCAAGGGTTGATCATGATTCATCAAGAAAACTCTCAATTCATCAAAAACCAAAAGTTACTAAATTTGGGTTTACTTAAGGAGAAGTCAACTGAACTTTGACCAAGCACAAATTTCACATGCTTCATCAAATTTTCCTCAACCAAAGCTCATTTTGAAGGAAATTCAATTCGCTACAACTTTGCCTCTCTAAGCTCAAGTCCAAAAAATACTTCATTTGAGAGATATTGGCTAAAACATTATAGGTCATTTCAAAAGTCAACAAAGAGACACTTTTTGTCAAGATAACTTACATCAAGATAAAGTATTCAAATTAAAAAATGATCAACATAGAGATTGTAGAGTACATCTTGAAATTTCCAAAAATTCAAAAATCACCTTCAAATGATAAAAATTGAGAGAGTTATGATTGTTGCAAGTTGGGAAATTTTGAGAAAATGTACGAAACCAAAAGTGATCAAGCTTGAATTCTTGGGCTAGTGGGCTGATGTTTCAAGGTCCATGCATGTTATAAGTCTCAATATGAACCTTAGAACATTTTTATACACCCCTTTGGGTTTTTATTCTATTTTATTTATTTATTAAAAGTAAATATAAAATTAGATAAAGGCAAGACTTTCTTACAAAGTTCCAAGCCCAAACTTTTGACCTAATTCATCACTATATATTCCATATATCTCACACAAAAAAGGACACACAAAAACCCTTGCAAAAAACACGTTTCCAAAATTTCGAAACTCTCAAAGCTAAGGCAAGTTGCAAACTCTATTTGCAGTTACTTTCAAGCAAAACCTATTGTCCCATTCAACTCCAGAAGCACTATAGGGTAAGTGAGGATCGATTTTGATGACTCAAGAGGCCTAAAACGCATGAACACGCATCATCGGTTTTCCATTCTTGCATGAATTTGTATTTTTTCATTCTTTGTGTTTTAATGCATACTAACATCACTAATGCATTTCTGAGATTTAATAGTGCAGGATAGACTAATCGTGTGAGCCCCATAACGACTGGACCATGAAATGCCATGCTTGGTCAGTTTCATGTTATTTTCGTCGTACCTCACAATCTAGCACGATTTAACCAAAAGAAGTGGTACCATTGAGTTCACAAAGTCTGAATTAGGGGGGTAGGATCCTTTGGAACTTCTAACGTTTTCTATCTTGCAAGAACACAAAACGCAATCCCCAGAGAAGACGATTGGAGCTAGGGCTCCGACGCCTCTTCGACCCAGTTATTTTGTTTATTACTTATTTAATTATTTTCATAGATATACCAGATGAGAAGCATGGTTGAGTTGCAAGCGCGCGCATAATAAGGCTTTGATGTACGGGCTTGGGTTCAATCCATGTCTTTTGTCATTTTTTCATGTTTTCTATTTTCTATAGGTTTTCCAGCGCGCATCCTCAAAGCATCAACCGTGCACCCTCTGTTTCTAGCCCTCAGATCTAGATCCACCACTCCAGCAATGCCTCTCCACGGTGTACCCTCTCTGCGTAAATGCACTAGATCTCACGGACTGCCTTTGGGCCTGGATCTTCTTTGCTATTCAACACCCCCTCTTTTGCTTAATCCAGACCCAATCTTGTTTTTTCTTTATATTTTCTTTTTACCTTTACTTATATTTTTATTATTTGTTCATTTTATTAAAATACAAAAAAAAATAGTTTTAAGGTTTTCTTAATTAAAATAAATTAGGTTTTAGTTTTTAATTAACCTTTTAATAATCTAATTTATTAATTAATTTTTTAATTAAAATTAATTAGACTTAATAGGTTTTAATTAATTATCATAAATCATTCTTTTCATAAAAAATCATCAAAAATATTTTCCTTTTCAATTTTTATCTTACTTTTATATTTCTTAGATCGACTGTATAAGTTTCGCGAATGTAATAGTCTAGATTTTATTTTTCTCTCTTTTTTATTATCATGTAATTTCTTATGGAATGTAATAGTCTAGGTCTAAATTTCCGCATTTTACTTTCTCGCATCTTTTTTTATGTAATTGCCCCAAAGCCCTGTAATAGCTTAGGATGTACTTTCCGAACCTTTATATATATATATATATATATATATATATATATATATATATATATATATATATATATATATATATATATATATATATATATATATATATATATATATATACTGCTTAGTAATTAGGGTTTGTATGGAAAGATAGTAATCAAACGCTAGAAAAAACCCTAATTCAAGACTAAAAATGAAAACATCACACTCGGACACTTGCACCTCTTGGGTAGCCTCTCTTGTTGCCTTTGAAAAAACAATGGTCATGTCCCTCGAACGTAGGGACACTTTAGAAAACTCCCTCTAATTAAAGATCATAGTCCCTCGATGACCAATTCGATGTTGCCTTTTGATAAATGATCTAGTCCCTTACGATACTGCTAAAGTGTCCTTACAAGTTGTCTTTAATGATTGTACGACGATCCTCGATGTCCCTTCACATCTAATAGACGAGGCTACCTACCAACTAATGGTTTGGATAACACTATCTATAAAGGAGAAGGAAAAGTACAAGAATGACCTTGAGTGGGTAGAATTGTTAATCGCTTGCTCACAAACCTTTCAAAACAAAAATATTTCACATAACTTTCAAAAATATTTTCAAAATACTTTGTACGCATTCTTGAGGACCGATACAAGAATCATCATAAAGTTTCTCCTTACATTGGAAAATTTCAAAATATTTTCAAAACACACACAAAGCAATTTTCAAAGTGAGCTAAGCGATTAAGAGCCCGTAGATAACTACGGATGAAAAGGGTGCTAACACCTTCTATTTTCATAACCTACCCCCCCCCCCCCCCCCCCCCCCCCCCCGAACTCAAAATCTTCAAGGTCTTTCCTATTATTTTCACCCTTTCCTTATTGGATAAAATAAAAGTCGGTGGCGACTATTTCTATCCGCACATTTGGATAAAACCAAAAAAGTCAGTTCTCTCACCGTATTACAGAACTGGCGACTCTGCTGGGGGAATTAAATTAAAAGAGGGTCGTTTGCTTTAAAATTCGAGGGTTGCCTGGGTTTAAATTCTTGCAAAGATCCTACACCCAGACCTAAGGTGCCTTAGGTAAGTAGAAATAGATCATGGAAATTGCACGACGTAGACCGACATGGTTGAAGTGATGGATACGTTAGTTTGACACTTTGGTTTGTACTGATGTTCCTTGAGTCAGTCGAGGATAAAATTGGGTTGTCGTATTGTGTCATAAGCACTAACTGAATTTTAGAACCTTAATTGACCCATCTTAGCCATTATAAGGTAGTGAGATGGTCGGCTTTGGTGCCGTCCAATGTTGGTTGATACTCGATGCTACGCTCATTGAGATTCAACTCTCGTGATGTTTTAGCAGCAAGTCAGTTGATGTGCTAAAATAAACCCTATGAGAAAGATCGATGATATTTAGACTCATAGAACCCGGTTACTATTTTTAGGACATGTTGAACCATCTGAACATCAATAGAAAATGGTACTTACCTACAGACCCCATGCAAGCCTTTAAACCTAAGTCCTTTGTGTGATTTATTTGTGTTTGCTATCTTGTTTAAACATGACATCATAGTATCATACCATGGCATTTTCACTAACCCTTTTCAAGGATCTTAGGGACCTGTGATGCAGGTTTATCATGAACGGTACTTCTAGAAAGGGGCAAGAGGATTTATTTTCCTCTAACCAGATGTCGTCAAAGACCAAAGTACATTGTTTTAAGTTGGAGGCTAGGACCCACTTAACATGGTGAGCTTGATTCTTATAGAAGGACATTAAAAAACAAATACGTAAAGTTATCCAATCAAAGCTGCAACCAGACTCAACTTCTAACATTTCATTTTTGTTTATCCCGCGAGATCCTTGAAAACATTGCATATGTATACCATACATATCATCATAAAAGGTATTTCCTAAGACAACTTTTCTCATCTTCTTACTGTTTATTTCAGTAAAAGATGGTTCTCGCAAAAACCGTCAAATAACTTTAAGCTCAAAATGCTCAATTCCAACAAATGTTCCTGAACTTAGCCAAGAGGCATGACGAGCTGAAGACCCTCATCACCAAAGAGAGGATGAAAAAGACTAAAAAACCAGTTGTCATTCTTAATATGGGTAGAAGGTTCAAAGGTCCGGTCAAGAGGGCTCTATATTTTGAGGTCCCATCAAATGAAGATGATAACCAAGAGGAAGATGATAAGAGTGTGAAAGCCGAGGAGAATAACAAATAGGGTTCTAATGAAGAAGAAGCAGACTATTCAGATGAACATTATCCTTCTGCTGGTGACAAATACAAACATCTGGAAGATCGTCTCAATACTATGGAGATTCAGAGAGTGCCTGGGTTGGATTTTGAAGATCTGGGTTTAATCTCGGGAGTTGTAAATCCTCACAAATTCAAGGTCCCTACCTTTGTGAAGTATGATGGTGTTTCTTGTCCAAAGCTTCATTTGAGGTCGTATGTTCGGAAGATTCAACCCCATACTGCTGACAGGAAGTTACGGGTGCACTTCTTTTAAGAAAGCTTGTCGGGAACACGGTTGGAGTGGTTATATCAGCTGGAAGGGACCAATATCCCTACTTGGGAAGACTTGGATGCTGCTTTTTACAAACAATACCATTACAATGCTGATCTTGTACTAAATCGCATGCAATTACAAAGTATGACTATAGGCTCGAACAAAGGCTTCAAAGAGTATGCCCAAAAATGGAGGGATCTAGCTGGGAGAGTTCAACCTCCTTTATTTGATAGGGAGCTGGTTAATATGTTTATGGGAACTTTGATAGGTCATTTCTTCAATCATCTGATCGGAAGCTCTTCGGCCAGATTCACCGAGCTGATATTAATAGGGGAACGAGTTGAAGGTGGAATCAG